CCCGCGAGGAGAACGTTGTGGGTCTGCCCAGACGTAGCAGCCGGGCGAAACCGGTCCGAGCAAACTGGCGGGGTTCGAGCATCTTGGCTCACAATCCTAGCAACATGCCTCCGTTTGCGAGCAGGAGCGTTCGCAATCCTACATCTTGATCGTAGGACTCTGAGCGGCTGTGCTCACAATTGTACCAAAGATCCAAGGATGGCTAGCGCACAGAGGGCGCTCCCAATCGCTCCAGCCGCGAGCGCTTGTGAGTGAGCGCGCCGGGAGGGTCTCCTTACAATCCAAACAGTGATCGCACCGACTGCGAGGGGACCCGCGCGCAATCCTAGAAGTCGTAGGACTGTGGGCGGTGTCGCTCGTAATCGGCGAAAGTTCTAGGATTGCGAGCGCTCCTGCTCGCAATCGGAGGCATGTTGCTAGGATTGTGAGCCAAGCTGCTCGCAACCCTAAGAGTTTGCTCGGATTGTGAGCGCGCTGGTAGTAGTCGTTCTGTCTTCGCAGTAGCGACTGAATCGAGCGATGGCTCTCCTCCGCGATGCTGCGCTGCGCCTCGGCGAGGGCGTGCTGCCTTTCCTGCACCGCCTCCAAGTCGTGGGCAAACGCGAGGGCGTGCTCCCTCCACGACTCGCCCCGCGCGGCCTCCGCAAGCGTGCACTCGGCCTGCTCGTCGAGAGCGAGCTGTAGCCCGGCGCTGCGCTCCCTCTCTGCCCGCAGCTGCTCGGCGAGCTCTGACGCTCGCGCGGTAGCCGCGTCACCCCCCTCGGCGGCACTCCTGGCTTGGAGCAGCGCCTCTCTTAGTGCGCTCTCTTTCCTGGCTGCCTCGGCTTCAAGCCGCGCGATGGTCTCTCGCAGCTGCTTGTAGTGTGTGACCGTGCTGCGCGCGTTCAGCAACATGCGCCGCGTGCCCAGCGCGCCGACGTTCATTCGGATGAGATCCGTGTCCTCAAGCACCTGCGTGGTGGGTGGGCGCTCAGCCTACACCGCCCCTAGTCGGCGCGTCCCCCCCGACCCTCCCTCCTGCACTGTCTCCAGGTCGACCCCCTCCGACAGCAGGAGCGGCGCCAGCTCTAGCAACCCTAGCTGCGAGAGCCACTCCTCGAGCTCTCGCGCCGCCTGCTGCCGGCTCAGCTCACTTGTGCGGCGGTCCGAGTGCCGCTCGCGCCACTCGTCGCGCGCGAGCGTCGAGAAGACCTCGGGTCCCCGCCCCTCTCGCTGCCAGCCCTCGCTGAGCACCTCAAAGTCGCTCCTGCTCACCCCCGGCGGCAGCGCCTCCTCGAGTCCACGCCACGCGGCG